TGAAACAAATAAAAAATTAATAAAAATTAAAAAATATAAAATAAAAAGTACCACGTGACAATTTTTAATAGAATTTTTTTAAAAAATGTCATAATATTTTTTAAGAGATAAAAGTTAATCAATGTAAGTAGATACAGTGACTAGAATTTATATGTTTACACGTGTACATATCGTCACAGACACTTATCACTTATGTGGGTGTCAGAAACTGGAGAATGGAGAGGAACGAGTTGTCATAATCATGGCCTAATTTTAGAACAATGGAGTCAATTGATTGAAGACTCAATAGAAGATCCCATCTATCGTAGCTCTGTGCCTATCATCGTTTCCACTGAAGCTTTGCCACTTCTACCATGCCAATTGCCAAGTGACACCTTTCATTTTCTTCCACATATATGTACTAATAAAAAACACTATATAATACCAATTTTGCTCATCTTTATAATTAACTTAACAGTTGTATTTACTTTTATTTATCAATGCAAATCTATTTATTTTTATATTGAAACATAAATTATTCATATTTATGAGCTTATCATTGACCAATAGCGTTTTCATACTGCGCTGGAATGAACGTGACTTGTAATCTAATATATAGGATTAGAAAATGACATTCAGTGAATGTTGAGAGAAACTTAAAAAAGCTACATCGTTACGTGCTTGTCAAAAACTATCAAATGAACTGTAGTTGATACTTGAATTTTACAGAGCTTATCGATGTCTTCTTTTTCAGATCGGAGACACGTGTCACGCAAAGAGACATCTTTATATGTTATGCATGTGCACTTTTAAGTTTTATATATTTTTTATTTTAACTCTTATCAAATCACTAAAATTATTTTAATTCTTACCGATTCTGAATATATATTTATTGTTTAATTAGAAAATTTATTATATTGCATATAATGTTAATTATAATGATATATGAATAAAATATAATATAATTTATAAAATCTAAACTGTGATTCAACGATGAATAAATAAACTGACTTGTCAGCTGAAAGTGGTTTTAAAAAAGAACAAGAGTTAACTTAAAGACTGCTTGGTTAAAACTGTGTTTAGATTAGTTCAAAAAGTAAATTATTTCAATGAGTAATTATTGAAATAATTAATTGTATGAAATGAATTTTATATTTAAATATATTAGATAAAAAAGTGATTTTAAAATGATTTATTGTGTTTAGATTATGTGAAATAAGTTAAATAACCACTTTTCCTGAGTTGAAAAGATAAAAACATATAAAGTTATGTGTAATAATTATTTTTGTATCGAATATAATTAATTATTTAAAATAAAATGAGAAAAATAAAATTTAACAAAAAAATAAACTGATAAATTTTTATCATAAGTTTTAAAATTTTATTTATCTTAATTTTTTATAAATAAAATCAATTAAAAACAATAAGCTAATTTTGTAAAATCATTCAAACAAAATAATATTTTTTATACTTTTTGTTAAATAATCACATCCAAACACATATTAAGTGGTTGGTTTTGAGATATAAATATGTATAGAACAAAAAACGTGTTTGATTTTTTCTCTGTCTCTTCCTATTCAATCTAGCCTTGGATTGTTAGGATATAATTCCTACTTCGTAGGTCTCTCGTTAGGGCTAAATCATGATAAGTAAAACTATGGAAAGGGTAGATAGTTATTAGGACTCCATGGCCAACCCTCTTATGACTTTCCATAGATCCTCATGTTGGTTAAATTTCACCAACAAGAATCTACCGTGTCCACGTCTATTATATTAAAGCCTTTGTTAAATTTTTTAATTATATTGAATTTCTTTGTAAACTAATTATTCACTCTTTTTTTTAATCTGGTAGCTTGATTAGGATGAGATTTTTGAGAAGTGCAATTGATATAATTAACACTATTTTATATTTTAATTGAAAGTTACTTTTTGAAAAAAAAGTAATATTTATCCTTATTTAGAAGTTTTTCTATGAAAAAAAATTATAAATACTTCAAAATTTTTTCAATATTATATTTTAAAGTTATTTTAATTTAAAAGTTTTATATTAATTTTTCTTTTTCTTTCGTTCTTTTTTTTTTCTTACCTTTTGAAAATTTTCTTTCACACTTTTCCCAAACTTCTAAATAAATCCCTCGAAAAATAAATCTATCACGTCCATGAGCTAGGGTTCTTTGGTTTTAAAAATATTTTTTTATTTTTATTTTTTAAAATATTTATACAAGAAATAATGTTTTTTTTAATTTTTTTTATTGTTTCCTATACAAATATTACAAGAAAAAATTAAAATAAAAACAAGATATTAATTTTTATAATTAAAAGTAAAAACAGAAAATAAAATTAATTTTTTTTACACTATCTCTAATTAAATGAAAATTGTTACCTTTTGGATATATATATATATATATATATATATATATATTCATTTATAAAAATTACTTATTTTAGAATTTGTTTTCTTTTTTAAATGCGATTTTAAAATGTTACAAATATATTCAAATGGCTCAAAAAAAAATTTAAATGTTTAAAACTTATTGTTCTTTGAAATATTGAAATTTCCCAGTTTTATGGAAATGTTTTATTAGAAAACATGAATAAAAATATTTAAAATGATAATTTTTAAAAATATTTTTTTAAAATTATTGATATTAAACATAAAAAATACTATTTCTAATTAATTTTTTAAAAAAGCTTTAAGAAAATGTTGTCCAATGAAACACTCCCTTAACGTAGTTTGAGTCGCTATATTGTCCAAACAAGTCATGGTTCTCCTTCTAAACAAGTCATGCTTTTTGTTTGAATAATATTCACTTCATCCAATCCTCAATAGTGATGTAAATACAAAAATATATATATATATATATATATATATATATATATATATATATATATATACGTATTGACTTGGTTTCTTAAAATTAGAAAAGCAACGCAAACGTTATAAAATCAGATCCTCCATACCAAACATAACCTACATTCATACATCCCAAACAGCTCTTTTAACAATAAAAAAATAATTGTGATCTTTGATGAGCAAAAATAAATGTCCCAAATGTTTATTGTAAGCTTTTAGGGAAAGGCCCTTTAACAACTGAGATCTATTGGGCTCGATGACATGTTGCTTGAATTTTATTGTCCAATACTCAATGATGGTAGCGGGCACTCTTGTTAGGAGGAATATAGAGAGTACATGGAAACAGAACAGAGATCATATTAATTATGAATTGCTATTTACTTTAAATCAAATCAACCTTTTTATCCTTTAATTTCTCCCAAAAATTTTAACTTTTGAATTTGAAGTACAAATCTGGATTGAATAATTAAGAATAATGAGACAGAGTAGTCACACGATTGCCTGTTAATGCACCTTTCATGATGTCATGAGTTGTATTACTACAGTCAAAATCGACATTAATTGAAGAGATAAAATGTTGAGTAGGTAAAAAATATGAAGAGTTTTGCTTTTGTTGCTAAAACAAAAAGGATGCGTAATTGAGAAGTGTCTATATAGCTATAGAGGACAGAGGCAATTCAAAAGGGAAAAAGAACCAAAGAAAAAAAATTAGGTAGTGAACTAGTCACAGTGTGGAACGAAAACGTAATTAGTGAATTGAGAAGGGAAGAGTAGTCCTAAAGCATCCAATGTAGAAAATAGCAATCGATGGTTACGACAAGAACAAGGTGTTTTAAGATAGGGATCTGATCATGTTTTTCTTGCGGAAAATGTATTTCTAGCTTGAATCTAAATTATAGCAACCCAAAACACGTAGAATAATATAAAACAAACTAACAAAATCGTGCATCACTATATATGAGAGAAATACAAGTAGTTTAAATTTGACCAAAAAAAGATAATTTTAAAAAATTAGTTTAATAATATAAGTGGTTTAGATTTGAGGTGGAAAAAGAATTAAAGTTAAAATTTATAAAAATCTCAATGTAAAAGGAATTAAAAATTATTAAGATTTCAAGAAATTTAAAAATATAAAAAATTGTATGGAATAATAAAGTCACGGGTTATAAAAGAAAATTAGTAAAGTACATTGGTGTTGAATACTAAAATACTCCAACTAAAAAATATTAGAATATATTAACAAACTCCGTATATATAATTTTGAGTCTATATATTTAAAATTTAATTAAAATATATTGATCATATGATTGTGATATAATTAAAACGAATATTAATTTTCGTGATAATTTTTTAAACATTTATATCATTAACAATTTTTAATTATTTAACAATATTTTTTAATTAATTATGTATCAAAATTAAACTCATATTTATATCATTGGAGATTTAATTTTTCTTTGATTATGATACTTTAATTCAGTCAATCCCATGAAATTGTTATCCGCATTGTTAATTGCCATATACTTTCAGCAAGATTTAACCTTAATTATATTGTTAAGACTATATTCCCTACACACAAGGAATCATGATAAACGCGAAAACTTTCTAAATTTATTTCCATATTTTTATTCATTGTTTTTTCTTTCCTTATAATAATGCAATTTTCCCATGATAACAAATAGTTAGAAGGTCAAAGTCAAACACGACACGTACGCACGCTAGTTTTGACTTTACCCTCGGTATTGGCCAATCCAATTGCACCTTACATGTAGTTTGATGCATACGTGACACACACAAGACCAAAGTCCAGAGCCGTTTTGGATGCGTTGTTTTCGCGCAACCAATCCGCCAAGGACACACTCTCGCTATCTATGGGATATGTCGTGTCGGATAGTTCCTCTTTCGGCTATCGCTTTACATGCACATGCATATGTCAAATCTAGTTTACACCATGATGTGCTTGTGTAAACGTGAAACCCCTCGAACAAACCACGCTTTAAACTCTCTTTCTCCGGGTTCACGTTCGGGTTCTTACACTCTTTTGTTTCTCCTTTTCAATACTAATCATGTGTTCCCTGCACTGAAGTACTTGAATTTGAAATGATAAATACTAATATATTCTCATAAAAGAGAATAGCGTACGTGTGTTTAATAATTATTAGTGTTTATTTCTTTATGATTATTTTGGCTTTAGAATTTTTAGAATCTGAATATTGAGGGTGTGGTGATGCTGAGGCAGAATGGAAGCATGGACTTGAATTTGATTCCTGGGAAGATCAGAAAACGAGGGTGTTCCTGGTCAGCATTGACCTTTTCCTGTGTTCCCAACAATAACTACAAGTTCAAAAGGGCTGTTTTGGTGGGGAAGAGGGGGGGATCAGATACGCCCGTGCCTACGTGGAAATTCATGAGCTCGAGATCACCATTACGTGGTTGCAAAGAAAAGCAAGCTCCAGTGTCGGCGAGGAAGCTCGCGGCTACACTGTGGGAGATGAATGAGAAGGAAAGGTGTGTTGAAGCGATGTTGAAGAAGGAATACAAAGCAAAGGAAAGGTTGGCACGGTTCATGCATTCTGGATCTATGCCACCCCATTTGTCTGATCCATCACATAGTCCTCTTTCTGAGGTGCACTTTCCTTTGTTCTTTTTTAGTCTTGTTTTGATTAACCATGGACCAATTTGAAGATTTTCTAAAATCTAACATGAAGTTGACATTTCAAAACTTTACTTCCATCCACGTGTTTCTTTTTCTTTGTCCTTTTTTTGGAATCTATTAAAGTTTCTTTTTGAGCAGTGAGGACCAGTGAATTTGTTGCATTGATTACTGTTGTTTGTTTCTTTGTAGTATGGAATTTTGCTTTCGCTACGAATTTTCCACTGGGTTTTTTATTTTATAAAGGGTAATGATGCATGGTGCTGGTCAGGTATATTTCTTAGAAAGTGATATGATCTTATTTTGTAGAGAATGGATCGATCTGGAACAGGTTGTTGCCACAGAAGAACTCCATCCATTTCTAACATGCTGAAGCCCACACACCAACATGTTGTCCCTTTAGATTCTCTTAGCAATGCCAGTCTCATGGAGGTATCTAATACAAAGGTTCATATGGTTCTGGAGAAATGACAGTTTTCTTTTGTTTATCTGTTTCTATACTCTCAGCTTCCTTTCTAGAAATTGCATACGCACGCATACATTACATTCTTGGTAATTGGTACTAAATTATTTGGAATTCAGTATATTTATGTCAGATGTCCTACCTATAAATTAAGTTTATATTATACCATTGTTCGATGCCTAGAGTAAGGGTGGTCAGGATTCATAACATACTTCGGAGGTGCAGGATTCTCCAACAAACTCTCCTAACATTCAGATCTTCAAGTATATAATATCCATTTACAACAAACACACCTTTTACACATTTAAAAAGGTATATCGATAAAAATGCAGCTTATTGCTCTATTTCAATCAGGTGAAGTAGAAAACAAACTTTTACAAGAGGATACTAAACACAGGTCATGGTTGTTCACATTTAAAAAGACTGAACTCACGTCACATGCCTGGTCCTTATTGAGGACTTTTCTTTCACTACAAGAAACAATGATGAACCAAAAGAAAATTCTGTGCATCGAAGTTTCTATTTACCTGATTTGGAAGTATCGTTTGCTAATTGATTGTTCATATCTACTTTCACACTTATTAGCTAAATGATATATTGACAATTCAACTATTTCTTTTAACCCCCATTTTCTTTGGGACAGAGTGGCAGCTTCTTACAATTAATATGCTGAGTGCCAAGTACTTGTAAGACAGTGGTGAGCAGCTCCCTCGTGGATGCCCTTACCCATTGAGTAACCGTTTGATTTTATACATCTGCTAATAGTTCCAAACGTTAATCCAATTGATTCATGATATGCAAACACTATTTATGCTGAAAATAATTATAACATGCACATAGTAATCGCAGAGAGTTGATGTAAATTTATTCTTCGTTGACTTTATGTATTGAAATCTGTTCCTCTGGTTTTACAATTGCAGATGCTTGCATAATGCCTTGTAATATTCGAGTCAGCTTATAAGAGCTTAAAATTTCTGTAAAATAATGTGATTTACATGTCCTTACAGTTACCTTTTGGCTTTCTTTCAGATTGAAACCAGATCTCGAACACAGACTCCTGATTCATCTATAATCGGAGTTAAGATACGTTTGAAGGACATTAGCAATGCTTTAACAACATCCAAAGAGCTACTTAAAATTATAAAACGCATTTGGGGTCATGAAGATCGCCCTTCCTCTAGTCTGTCTTTAATCTCAGCTTTACATACTGAATTGGAGAGGGGTCGCATGCAGGTCAATCAGCTTATCAAGGAACAGCACTTAGATCAAAATGAGATAAGTTATTTGATGAAGTGTTTTGCTGAAGAAAAGGCAGCATGGAAAAGCAAGGAGCAAGAAATTGTTGAGGCTGCTATTGAATCTGTTGCAGGAGAACTTGATGTTGAGAGGAAGCTCAGGAGACGGTTTGAGAGCTTGAACAAAAAACTTGGTAGAGAACTAGCTGAGACCAAAGCTTCACTCCTTAAGATGGTGAAAAAACTAGAAATTGAGAAGAGAGCAAGGGAAATTATTGAACAAGTATATGATGAATTAGCAAGGCATACTGATGAGGATAAATATGAGACTGAGAAAATAGAGAGAGAATCCACGAAAGTTTATGATGAGGTACAGAAGAAAAAGGAAATGATGCAATTAGCTGATATATTATGCGAGGAGAGAGCTCAAATGAAACTTTCTGAGGCAAAATATCAGCTTGAAGAAAAGAATGCAGTTGTCAAAGAGCTAAGGAATCAACTTGAAACTTTTCTGGGAAACAAAAAGGACAGAGAAAAAGGTTGCAGCACCAATAACTTGAATGATCAAGAAATTTCCGCACATCTAGGTAGAACTGGATTTGTTTCCCATAATAACAAAGGTCAAGAAGATGATGGAGAAGTTGACAATGGAGTAGAATATGATGATTCAGCTGAAAGTGATTTGCATCCTATAGAGTTAAATATGGAAGGCTATGACGATAGCGACAACAACATGGAGAGCCATAAGTGGGCTCACCTTTCTGATAGCAGATTCAATATCAGAAAGTATGCAATTAAGGATGAAAATAAAAGGAGGAGATCTACCTCGGGGGTAGTTTCAAGGAGAAGCACATCTCTGCAAAGGAGTGCATTAGATGGAATAGAATGGGGAATCCAAGTGGAGAAGGTTCAAAATTCAAAAGATGGATTAGATTGGGAAAGCCTGTGCGAAATAGAGAAGCAAGCTCATGGAAAAGGTTATGGCAATGAACCGAAAGGCTATAAATCAGTGAAAGGTTTGAGGGATCAACTCTTGGCTGGTTCTAGGCTTGGATCTTCCATAGTTTATGCTAGTCCAACAAGACAATATTCCCAGTCTTGTACATCACATCTCTCAAATACCTTCCAAGAGAGACCTGCTAAAGGGCAGGGCAATGGTATAAAATCAAGGTTAGTGGACCTGAGGGGTGCGGGAAAGAGTGTCAGTTAGTACAAATGGTGAGACAGAAATGCATGTATCTTTATGCTCCATGATTTGCTTTTCATGCACAAACAATGCCAAAACCTGCTCGTCATATATCTTGTAAATGTAAATTTAGGACATTGAATTGTATCACAAGCCAGCTAGATGACCATATTGAAAGTAACTTTTCTTTCTCTTAACTTTTTGTTTTGTTCATATAACGTGGCTGCCTAAGTTGTTGCAACTCAATGCTCAATTTCATTTGGTAGTGGTGTTGGTTAGAGTCTAGAATATTTGTTAAATCCGGCTAGTGTTTTGTCCCCTGTAATATATGCTAAAGTTGGTTCAGAAGATACATTTATCTTTCTTCTCTAAGATGGCTACTTCTTTATTTTCTCCCATTTGGTTCAGGTAGAAGTCTCAAAAAGCATGAATTCAAATTTTTTTTTTATCAAAGGAAAAAAAAACTCTCCTTGGGTCAAGCACTAAATGGTTGTTTCAAAGAGTTGAAAAGCTGAACGTGTGCAAGTTAAAAAAATATGTAAACTTGGAACTACGCAGAAACTTTAACTAATAGATTCATAATCATTCAGACATGAATCTAAACACGTCCAAAAACAAATGAAACCTAAACACCAAATTAAAGCTTTTTATATAAAACCCGACAACATTTTATACTTGCCCTATGCAACATATTGAAATTACATATTACTTATGAATTGCTAAGAAATTACATATTAAAAGCTCTGGATTTATAATAGGACAAACACCCCTAACGAAATACCAACGAAGTAGAAGGTTGAGTTCTCAATCGCATAAGAAAACTCTTGGTCGCGTCAATCTTGGAATAGCTTCTTGAAATGATTTCTGAGGGCTTCGCTGCGAGCTTTTGTACGAGCCTGTTGAGGAGCCGCGTTAACAAACGAGAGATGAGCTCCGATGGAGAAGAGCGAAACGCCGATGGCAAATACGCCGGCTGTGACAGCCAATTGCCCCGCCGTCGGCTGGTACGACCAGACCACCATTCAATTCAGTTAATTAATGACTAAATCCCACAATTCATTTTGAGAATTTCGTCAAGTCCGGGTTATTGTTTACTCAAAAATTAACACGGATCCAAAGACTTTACTCACATTTAATTTTAATTACATAAATTATCAAAATGAATTTTAGTGTATATTAAAAATAAAAACAACAAATTAACTATAAATTACATTTAATAAAAAATTATTGAAATTAATTACAATGTTTCACATTTTTTAAAATTTTAAATTATAATTGATTCATAATTATTATATTTAAATTGCATCTAAGAAAATTTTATTAGAATCAATTATATATGAAAATTTTACGTTGATAAATACAATATTATGAATGGAAATAACATATTAACAATAAATTGTATTTAATAAATAACTTCAGGAAAAATTAACTACCGCTTGAGTTACTATTTTATTGAAAATAAAATTATATAAGTATTTTTAAGTTTTATTTAAATTTGAATGGTATTGACTTAAATAATTTTATTAATTAGTTTTATATATTTAACATTTAAAATTATGTATTAAAAATTAAAATATATTTAAATAAAAAATTACACACAAAATTATAATTTTGCATTACATATTATTAAATTATTTTTATGATAAAAGGACAAATAAATTATAATATAGATGAAAATATATAATTTTTTAAATTAATTTTTCATCTTGTGATATATTATTAAACATATCTTTATATTTAATTATATAAAAAGTAATTCTTACATAACTCTTAAAAACTTGTCAATAATTTTTTATATCATATCATATTACTTTGTATTTGTGTATTGCAATAATATAAATTTTTAAGAGTCATTTGTTCAAGCAAGTATATATATATATATATATTTTGTAATAAAGTATATAAAGGTATTTTATTTATTTATTGAGTAAACATAAAATTACATTATTTTAAAGTGATATTATGTATTATATTTTATTTTTATTTAATTAAATTTATGTTAAATATGTATTATAGGTGTTTTTATTTTATTTTTATATCTACATCAACAAAAATTTATGTCAATATTAACATATCAAACATTACTTATTTTATAAATTCATTTGAGTATAGAAATTATATTAATTTTTCTATTATAATAACTATTGATAATACTTTCATTTTTTTAACTAATTTTTTAATTATTCATTGTCACTTTAACATTAAAATTTAAATTATATACATACTATTGAAAATATTAATATTACAAGATTTGTGATTTTTTTAAGTATAGGAATTTCAAAAAACTTATATAAATTTTTTGATTATGACAAAATCAAATAGTGATATGATAATTTAAATTTTTTTATCAATTTTTTTCTTATTAATCCTTTAACTAAAATTATTTATTAATTAAATTTTAATAACAATGTTGTTTGTTTTTAAATATTACATTAATAATTATGACTTTAAATTTTAGATTAAAAGAAATTAATTATAATAATTAAAATAATTTAAATCACAATTTAATAATTTTATACATAATTTATCAAATAAATTTATATTAATATTTATTATAATTCTTGAGAAATAAAAAATTAGACTATATTTAAATGAACTTGAGTATAATACTAAACCTCATTATTTATTAAAAACTATTTTTTATTATATTTCTATTGTTGGTATATACTTTTTTTTTTATGTATTTTTATTTTCATTTTAAAATATTTAATAACAATTATAATATAATAGATTTACATTATTTATATTTAAAAGTAATTAAATTTTTTACTATTTATTTTTATTTTCATATTTTCTTTAATTTTTTCAAACTTTATTTTTTATATTTACATCAACTAAAAGACTAATATTTTAATGAAGAGAATGAAACATATATAAATTATACAAAAAAATTTATATATAATAATGTATTTATCATATTTTTAATGTTATTATATTTAATATTATTTAATACAATAAATTTTGATTATTATATATTTTTATATTAATATTATATTTTTTAAAATAAAATAATTTAATAAAAATATAAACAAATTTATATAACACATAAATATATTTATAAATTTATAACTAAATTATTATTATTATTAAGATTTAAAATATTTAAAATCATATGTAAATTAAGTTTGATTTTTATATTTATTTTTTATATACAATTTATTTTTAAAAATAATCAAAATTTTTTATTTTACATTTTTTATTTTTCTATTACATTGAGTATGATTATTATTTAAATTATAATAATTTTTAAACTAAATTAAATAATAAAAAATATAAATATATTTATACAAATCTGTAAAACGCGCATGGATATATTTATTAGTTTAAAATTATGTTATAAAAATGTTAAAATTTATTGTTATTCTTGTTTAACTTGAGATTGAAATGTAAAATTTAATAAATTTAACTGTATTGAATATTAAAAAAAATATTATCTATAATTATCTTACACCATTCTATGAGAACTTTTTTATAATTAAAAAATAACATAAAAATTTTAATTTTTTAATCAATAATTATAAGATGTTATCAATTAGCATTTTTTTATTAAATATATTTTTAATAAGTAATATATTTTTAATAAAAATAATCAAGCTTTTTTCTTACTCACCGAAAAAACTTGATCCTTTTTTATTAAATAATAACATGTCAGAAGTTTTTTTTTTCTATCAGTTTTTGTTTTTTGTTTTTTGTTTACTACTTTATCATTTAATATTAAATAAAAAATCGTATATTTATTATTTTTAAAATATTAAACATATTAGCTGTACATTTTTAATCATTGAAAAATTATTTGAATAAAGGGCAGAAAAATTTAAAATTATTCAGTCTTGATTATTGAATCAATTAATCTGAACCCATAATATTTTGGACGAAACGTAATCCACAAATAGTATATCACTGTTGTCAAAATGGGCCCAGGCCCAATCCCTTCCATAAGATCTCTACAAAACCCTAGTTCCCCTCTCTTCTCCTTACCCCAACCCTAACCTCCCTGTGGTTTCCAACCCCACTCGCCGCAAGAGCACACTCTCACACACATTCGCTGTTGTAGCAACAATGGGTCGCGTTCGCACGAACACAGTGAAGAAATCCTCACGACAAGTGATCGAGAGGTACTACTCTCGCATGACGCTGGATTTCCACACTAACAAGAAGGTCCTCGAGGAGATAGCACTCATTCCCTCAAAGAGGCTTCGCAACAAGATCGCAGGGTTCTCCACTCATCTCATGAAGCGGATCCAGAAGGGTCCAGTGCGTGGCATCTCCCTCAAACTGCAGGAAGAGGAGAGAGAACGCCGCATGGATTTCGTCCCCGAAGTCTCTGCCATCAGAACCGAACAGATCGAGGTCGACAAGGAAACCCTAGACATGCTCGCTGCTCTTGGAATGTCCGAAATCCCCGGTGTCGTTCAGGTTGACCCTGTTACCGTTCAGGCGCCGCTAGGGTTCGGTCGCGGTGCTGGTGGAAGGAGGTATTAGCCACCTTGTCGTTTTTTGAGACTGTTTTGGTCGTGTTGTCGTTTAGAGGACTATTTATTATGCTTTGAATTTTGCTTTATATTTTTTTAGTTTCGTTACGGTTTCGTATTATTGAACTTGTTTAAGTTAAAGTGTTTGTTAATGGAATTTCATATGTTTTACTTACGGTTTCAATGGTATGTTAGATTAATTTTTGTGAAATGTTGGTTTGGGTTATGCTCGTGAGGAATCGGAAATTTCACCCTCATTTTGGAATATGGAAGTGTTAAGATTTTATGACTATTTTGTTTGTTTATTTGTTTGAAGTAATGACTATTAATTAAATATCTGAGGCAATGGGTTGATATTAGTGAGAGTTGGAGTGTATGAGAAAATGGTCTGAAAACAAATCATTCTAGTTCTCCAGAATTCACTATCTCTGCTTTTCATTCCCTGTTCTGTGGAGAATTTCATGTTAGATGTTATGGGTGATTTGATTACTGAAATGTAATTTTGGTTCTAAAGTGCTATTAAATTTGTTGGCATTGCGTACTTATATTCATTTGCTCACCTTTGATTAGGATTATACCCATTATATGAATTAAATTGTAAGTATCTGAAATAAGGTGGAAGCTGGAGTGAATTTGGAAAGACCCCAACAATGAAAAATATGAAAAATTTTGGGGGCTTCAAACAATGTTTACGGTTTAAAATTGTTCGTAATCATCAGCTGAAATTACATGTATTTTTGCACGCCGTATCTTTTAAGTGCATCAATGATTTTTCTTAGTTGAACGAAATGGAAATAAGTAGATATATAATTTGATTATATGAACATAATTTTTCCTTTTTAGCGTTTATTTTTCTGATTCAAAACAATAAAATTAGAGTTTTTCTCGTTAAAAAAAATGTATTTCTTTGCACAAACTAACTGCCGTTGGTTGCTCACTGCCATAGACTAACTTTTAATCTGTATTTATTATTTTTAAAACTATTGTTGTGACCGTTGGTGTGTACAAATGCGACTTAAATTTGGAATGAGGTAATGCTTAAGAGTCTTAACTGCTAATTTAATGGTTGTATTTGCTCAAGGCTATTATTCATCTAAAGGTCTAATCCTTGACAGTTTTAACTATAACAATGGGATCGGGCGGGTTTGAGTAACGCTTCTATCAAAACGAGAGTTGATTTAAATATAGAGTATTTTAATTTCCAAAAAATTTAATCATTTAAATTTTTAATATTATAAATTTAAGTATTTTTGTCTTTTAGGCCTTTTTTTTCACATCTAGCACATGATTAGTCCTCCAATTATTCAGCACCAATCTAGTTTTTTTTTTGTGTATAAAATCGTTTGACATAAATTAGTCTTTAAAAAAATTTAAAGCAAACCGATAAAAAATGGCTCAAGTGTCCCCATCATTTTTACCTCTTGACTGAATAGTTAATTAAATTTTCTTAATATATTAAAGTATATTTCACTTATTTAAGGATTTGGACTTGTACTCCTCTTAGTATTGATATCGTTATACACGGTCAGCTCAGTTGTCATAGGTGAAGAATGAACAAATAAGAAGACAATTTGCTTTTTTGGGAGTAAATTAAAAAGCAAAATAATATAACACTTGTTATTATAGGTTAACTTTATTGTACATTAATGTGTTTATTTGCTTGAAATTTTGGTAAAATTAATTTTAAATTACTCCATGTGAATTTTTGTTTAACCACATATATGTTTTGTTGGAGACCATCAAACTAGAATTTAAAATTACTAGTTAAATTAAATCAACTATTTGTTAATTAATTTATGTATTTAATAGTAAATTATTTTATATAATTACGATGTAATCTTAAATTAATTTTAATTACAGATTTTAAATTAAAATATGTTACGTAACTTCAACAGCCCAAATAAAACAACTTCCATAACTTAAAGTTTTGAAGTAACTGAAAAAAAATTGGATTTAAAAATCTTCATATAAATTTAATTTTGCTTTTGTGTTTTCTTAAGATGTGGGGTTTTTAAAACTTCTTTAAACTTAAATGTATTTTTAATCTCTATAATTTAATACTTCAATTTATTTTAATCTCTACAATTTTGTAAATTTTTAGTTCTTATTGCCAACATGATTTACTAAAGATTGTCATATATCAATTTTTTTTATTAAATTAGATGTGCTAAAATTAAAAAAAATATAAAATATAGAAATGAAAATTTAAAGACATTCAAATGAACTATTATTAAAAAAAACCAATTTTTTTTTCGGTTACAGATTTATAAGCATATTTTCCTAATTCCTATCAAATTTGGAGAAGTAACTATCATAACACGCTTAAATGAGACTAACTTTATACATTTAATAACTGCAAAAAAGAAAAACACGATAATAGCAAAGATTGGAAACGCTGTAAAATAATTACATATTTTCGATTAGTACGTAGATATTTGGAAATTTAATTAATAAAGTTGGTATTCAAATGAATTGTTAGTTTAGTCAACATATGTTTCAGTGTTTTTTAGTAAAATTTTGAATCCAAATAATCATGTATGTAAAAATTTTTAATAGAAGAACTAATTTTATTGTATCGTGAATGTTTCTAACCCAAATAATTATGGTTATAGAGGACCATTAACCAACCAATTTAACACTTACGACATTTTATACCATGAGAGAAAAAAAACATGTAATATAGTCAGCAATCACTGCACGGCGTATTGAAATAAATGGAAACCTGAAACTGGTACGGCTTAGTTATACGCTCTCCGTTCTCTTTAACCGTATCTTTTCTTCTTCTCGATCTCACCCATTTCTGTGTCTATGTAAAATAATCATAATAATAATGTGCCATTTGTTTTGGGTTGCAAGAAAGTAGGAAAAACTATAACTTGATTCAATGGTTCATCGTTTTGGTGCGAAAGAAAAGAAAGCCGTTTGATGTGTGTTACTGCTGTTAATTGTGTAGAAGTTGTTTATAGCAATGTCTGGACCTTGGGCCCTGCTTTGTCTGTTGTTGTTCATTGTGTTCACATCATAGTTTGAATGGAAGCAGCAATATCACAGTGAAATTGAAGTCAATCCTACCACTTCCCACAAACTGAAAAACACACCTCAAAGGGAAGAATTTGTCAAAGAAAAAGGTGAATTAACTGAAATTTTAAATTGTGAAAAATATGGATGTGAAGTGAACCTTTTTCTACTGCTTTGATTTCCTATTACTAATTACCCATAAGGTTAACCACCAAGTAGTTTCTATTTTCAAGCTTTAGCATCAAAATTCCAAAATAAAACTTAACCCTTTCATGTTACTTTCTTCTTGTTAATTTTGAATTAAAACATGGATTTTCCATTTCACTACTTATTATTTACGAACACCCTTCAATCCATTTATGATATTCTGTCTCCACTTTCGTTATCTTTCTCTTCTGCATTCTGTTCTCTCCTATCACTTCTCTATTTTTGAAAATAAATTTTGAAATTTTCTTCACATATTGTATGCACACTTGTGCTTGTGTTTCCTTTCTCTAGCGTCTGTCAAACAAACTCTTGGCCTAAGCTGGAACTGCATGCAATTCTGTGTCAAATAGAATCTTAGATTGCATTTTGTGTGGGACTTCTAATTTTTGTTATACTATACTTTTCAAGGATCTTATCTGTCTGTTATATATCTGATTCTATTGGTCCTCAAGAATCATTTCATTCTCCTTTTTCAAATATAATGTTCATATGGGAATATTGAAATGCTGTTAACTATTGTGGCTTCTTTTAGAGATTTGAAATTCCAAACTACAGTTTTTCGGTATGAATTAAGCTTCATGGTCTTGCTGCTGTGCAGATTATTCTCTCTCAAGAGAAAAATATTCAGAGACTTCATGAGCATGTTCAGAGTCTTCGTGAACAGTTGCTACAATGTAAGGCTGATATGAATGTTTCGAATATCACCACAACAACCCGTTTGGCAGAATTTCTATCTGACTTTGAATAGGTTCCATCCAGTCTTAGAGGATTAGTTGTGGATCACACCTGTTGAACGGGCTATACAAGTTTAAAAACCTTGTTTCTTTTTCTAAGCAGTTTCTTGATGAGGTTGTGTGTACATCAATTTGTTACACAATTTTACGTGTAATCAATATGTTGTGATATATTTTTTGTTGAGTAAGTCGGGATGTTACTGGATGGCCCCCTAGTAAGTTTCATTTCTGTCTTTGTTGTGATCAAATGTTGAAGTATTCAGGCATTTGAAGTCTTTGGAGCAAAATCATGAACAAATATGAAAAGTGATGGATGGGTTCATGATCTATGCTTTGGTAGTCCTTTTCTCTAGAGTTTTCTTAAACGTTTGTCAAAAAGCTTTTATTTTCAATAAATATATGGATCAGTTGCTGAAACTATGTTTTTATTCATCACACAAATTCTTATTCTGTTTATATATATATACATATATATGTATGTATGTATATGTGTGTGTGTGTGCGCCATTTCCAGAATCACATGTTTGTTGGTAGTTTGATACACCTGTATATTCTTACTATTGAAACATAATTTTCAATTTAAACTGGGACTAAGGCCAGTCATGACGGATTGCTTGACTATGAGCTGTGCAGATCCCTGATTGGGAGCCACAATGTTAGTAAGGTACTGCATAGTATGAGATCTCTGACGCATTGGCTACATTGACGTAGCTATAGTTGCTTGGGTGAGTGGAGATTTGGGTAAATGTCAGAAAAAAAAAACATGGTAATAGCTCTTAGATATATTCTTCAAAGGAAACCTTGGACCTGTTATGAATTTGACCTGTCCTTAGGTCAATAACTGCTTGTGTTACAGTATTTATCAATATGAGATTCGCTAAGATCCAAGGAAAAAACCCATTTTGAGCTTGTATGACTACACCAATACGTTGGTTTCTGTTAAATTTCTAATAGAAATCACTTTCTGATGTATGGTAAAGAGGATTCTTTCTTTTGAACTTGTGGTGAAAATTGAGTATTTCATACATTTTTATCATAAAAAAACTGATTTGTGCAGGCTTCTAGGGAAAAGCTAGATCATTTAAATTGGGATGATCCGAATGGAAGAATATCATTGTTGACGGACCAAGTTGAAGATTTGTTTGTGAAACAAATAAAAATGCATGTAAAATGAAGAACATGTTGCTCCACTCCTGCATCTTGTCTTTTTTGTAAAGCTGAATTACAGAGTTTTCTCTTATGAAGTGCTTGAATTACTCATCCTTTGATTTATTTTTGAAAAATTACACTCTCCTCTCTTTGAATATGATAATATGTTGTTCTTTACAGTGTGTAGGGTCTCTCACCTTTTATTACTGGTTGAGACCCAAAACCTTCATTCTTAATTTGTTATTATTATTAAGTTTCAAAGTCATCAGTAGCAGTTTAACATTAGTTGCAAGTGACTTTGAGAGTTGCAGAGAGAGAAAAATTGTTTTTGTGGGGCTGATTACATTCAAATGAACTAAGATGTAATATATATCAGTCTCTCAGGAGAAGAGTTGTTGTTTTTTTAAAATAGAGAAAAATAGTGTG